CCATTTTCAAATTTTTTAATTTTTATTAGTGACGAAATAAAAAATGCCGCTATTAGTTTTCAAAAAAACATGACGAATAATTTTGTCACTAATGATATAATACCAAACAAATAATTTCGTTACATTTGCTGAATATTTTGTCGCTAAATTGAAATATTTAGGTAGCGTTGGGTAACGTTTACGTTTTTTGTTTATATTTACAAAAATTTTATAAACTGATTTTTATTTATTTTTAGAAAAACATAAATTACAAACGCGTATGATTTGAACAAAATGATTAAAAAATAAACTAAAAAATATGTTTGTTCAGGCCTAAAATATTTATATTTATTTTTACTATTTATGACAATGGGATCACACACATTATAATTAAAAAAAATTAATTAAAAAAATAATTGAAAAAAAAATTAATTGAAAAATAAATAAATTGAAAAAAAATAATTGAAAAAAACTTAATTGGGAACAAAAATTAATTGAAAAAAAAAAGATTAATTGAAAAAAAAATAATTGAAAAAAACTTAATTGGGAACAAAAATTAATTGAAAAAAAAAAGATTAATTGAAAAAAAAATAATTGAAAAAAACTTAATTGGGAACAAAAATTAATTGAAAAAAAAAAGATTAATTGAAAAAAAAATAATTGAAAAAAACTTAATTGGGAACAAAAATTAATTGAAAAAAAAAAGATTAATTGAAAAAAAAATAATTGAAAAAAACTTAATTGGGAACAAAAATTAATTGAAAAAAAAAAGATTAATTGAAAAAAAAATAATTGAAAAAAACTTAATTGGGAACAAAAATTAATTGAAAAAAAAAAGATTAATTGAAAAAAAAATAATTGAAAAAAACTTAATTGGGAACAAAAATTAATTGAAAAAAAAAAGATTAATTGAAAAAAAAATAATTGAAAAAAACTTAATTGGGAACAAAAATTAATTGAAAAAAAAAAGATTAATTGAAAAAAAAATAATTGAAAAAAACTTAATTGGGAACAAAAATTAATTGAAAAAAAAAAGATTAATTGAAAAAAAAATAATTGAAAAAAACTTAATTGGGAACAAAAATTAATTGAAAAAAAAAAGATTAATTGAAAAAAAAATAATTGAAAAAAACTTAATTGGGAACAAAAATTAATTGAAAAAAAAAAGATTAATTGAAAAAAAAATAATTGAAAAAAACTTAATTGGGAACAAAAATTAATTGAAAAAAAAAAGATTAATTGAAAAAAAAATAATTGAAAAAAACTTAATTGGGAACAAAAATTAATTGAAAAAAAAAAGATTAATTGAAAAAAAAATAATTGAAAAAAACTTAATTGGGAACAAAAATTAATTGAAAAAAAAAAGATTAATTGAAAAAAAAATAATTGAAAAAAAATTATTTTAAAAAAAAATATTTGAAAATAAAAATTGAAAACTGAAAATATAAACTCATTTTTTGAGTTTACGTTTTTTCCTCAAATTTATAAACTGAGACAACCATTTATAAACTAAAAAAATTATCAAATAAGTTTTTATAACAGTTTTTAAAATTTTTGTAAATATAAACTGAAAACTGAAAACTGAATGGTTACCAAACAGACCCTAAATAAATCGTCAAATTAAAAATTTAACCCAAATAATAAATAGATAAATTTGCTCAACAATATAAAATAGAATAATGAAATAAAATGTGCAAAGAGAAGAGAAAGCAAACTTAACGATTTATAGTGGTTCGACATGCCGGGCCTATGTCCACTCCCCAAGTATCCTCCTCGGAAATTTTCTCCACTATTCTTCAAATAGTAATTACACCACTAGCTTCACGGGTGCTAACAAACATTTACAACAAGTGGCCAATCCCGATCACTCTAACTAGTTTAGAGTCTGGTACCTAGTCATGTATAACCCAAATGATTTTATCTCAAAAATCACTCACAAAAACTCTCTTTTTTACAAGAATAATATGAATAGGGATAGAAAACATTTTTACAATTTTGCTCAAACTCTTAATAAATTTTCTCACAGAAAATATAATTCAATGAAGCACACAATACAATATTTGAGAATATTTCAATATCACAGATTTTTCTCTTTTTCACTTTATTACTTCTTATTTTTCTCCAACTAAAATACTTCTTATATAGCCAAAACATATATCCGTTGGATCAGGGGAGGCGCTTGGAGACGTTGCAGCTCAGACACGCTAACACGCGGAGCACGAGCACCAATCATTTTCGAATATGGCAGGCGGAGGGATTGAAAATATAGACAACGGTCACTTTCGATAAATAGTAATTCAATTTTTTCAATCATTTCTCGTAAAAAAACAAAGAGTGTACAATAACTTGTATAGTATCTTTTCTATTAAAATATTTAATTGTACAGTAACTTCTCTATTAAAATATTTGTATGCA